CATTAGCGAGAAGTGTGATTTGATATATACAGTATGTTTGAAAAAGTTGGCAACAAATGGGAAAATCTTATTCTTTATATAAAAAGGTCTGCATTGCCGAGAAAGTAAAACGCAAATGTCAGATGTAAATTTCTTAAATCGTTTATGAGGTTTGTCAAAAAATATGAATTTGATACAAGAGTAAAGTACCTTTATTTTTTACAATATCGAAAACTTTAATTATGAAAAGTTGTTCCAAATAGAAAATTATGTTTTAATAGGCATTTTTGCTACTTCTTGAAGTACAATTACTGTGACGTTTTCAATTTTGGTTACATTAGTTACAATTTCATTTCAATTCACACTAACTAGATGGAATGTATTATTTATTTCTCGAAAGATTTTACTCGACTAACTTTCGGTAAGAAAAATGTCATTGTCAAAGCCACCTAGATTTTAAATTATTTCATTTATTTTTGTGTATTACAGTAAAAAATACATTATTCTGTTGGGTATTACTTATTTATTACTGATTTAAGTTCATTGATAAAATATTTCAAAACAACAAATGAACATTTGAGGTGTGTTGACTTGTTAAATAAGATAAAAGTTGAAATTAAAGTGGTCAAAATATTCCTATTAATCTTTTGCAATTTATGGATACCCTGTACATGTAATGTCAAATGGAAATACCTAAATATTATTATTTTTGGATGCAGAGATTTTCATAAAGAATAACTTTTTTTCGTAAAACTTGCAATAAAAGTTTCCCATATGTTGCCAACTTTTTCAGACTTCCTGTATAATTATATGTAATGTAATTACTGTATAATTATAAGTATATCTATGATATATATGATATCTATATATATATATATATATATATATATATATATCTATATTCGCGAAAAACGCATCTACTCCGTGGTTAAATGTATAGGGGAATTTTGAGATAGAAGAGAAATAAATTCGATTTCGCGTCTGTGTTTGCCCGTGAGGAATTGTATCGAAGCAAATCTAATATTATGCATGATATGTTCACCTACGTACGTTCTATAAGATAACAGAATATATTTCTTTTTATCCATATCCATACAGTGTATTAGATTCTGCAAGATACATCATGAAAAATTCTAGTTTTAAAAAAACCTAAAGAACTAAAGAGAATACCTGAATATAGGCAACACAAAATACTCTTACGTCATGTACCCGGTTCGTTTGATATTAAACAAAGCACGCTAATAAAAATCTTCTGTGTTTTTTTTTTCTCGAAGAAAATCCCTGAATAAAACGTTAAACGAGCGAGATTAAAAAGTTTCGGTGTAACATGTTTACGACAGGTCCATTTGGCCTCGAACGCATAGGTAACTAGCTAGCTGCGGGGTGTAAATTTAATTAGGAAAATGCGGAGAAAAGGAAAATACCGGCGACCGACGTTGCGGGGACTTTTTCTCGTCGGGAAAACGGTCGTAGATTTTTTTTATTCTTCCGGCTAAAAGACGGCAGTTAATCGAAAGTTATGGATGATGAAACACAGTGGAAAAAATTGTTTTAAAAACGATGAAAATTATGTAGAATTTAATCATTAACAATAATGATATATAGAGAAACAGATAGACAAAAAAATATAAATTTTTGAAAAACTTCACACATCACCAGAACTAGGAAAACTCACGTCCGAGCCTCACAAACCTTTTCCCCGGCAAAATCCGTTAAAAAGGAATTTATATCGGGTCCGATTGTTGTTGCTTTTTTTCAGCTCCCTTTTTAATTAGCGCTCGGCTTTGTACCCGGAAAATGTCCGCCTGGCTCGCGTTCGGATCGTTAATACACTGAGAAAGTCCCACTAAATCCCAAAGCCCCTATGTCACCTAATGCGAAAATTAAATTACACCTTTTCGCGCCGAAAAAAAACATTAAAATACGCTATTCTGACACGCTTCAAACGTTATTACTGTCACTAATTGACAATTGTGACACTTGACGTACGTCTTACGCTATTTTGACACGCTTTAAAAACGTCATTACTGTCACAAATTGACGATTGTGACATTCGACATACGTCAAAATAGCGTTTAAACAGAGAATTAATATAATAGAGAAGCGAAACAAACTGTCGTTTCCATTGATTTTGATTGGACAAATTTTCGACAATATAAAATGTACTGAGAGAACTGGTATTTTTGTATACTGAGCGAACTATTTCGGCGAATTTACTGAAAAATAATTCAAAGAGAAGTATACAGAGTGTCCAGAAAATAGATGTCAATAATTCGAGAGCGTATAAATGACAACAAAATAAGGGTACAACTTCATATAAATTTTATTAATTTGAGTCCCACTTTTGAGCTAGAGGCCTTTAAAGTTGAAAATTTAAAACTTATTTTAAGGTTTTATTTCCAAGTTATACATGGGTACAAAATAAAATTTTTGAGGTTCATTAAATAAAACCTAAAAATAAGTTTTAATTTTTCGACTTTAAAGACCTCTAGCTCACAAATCGAGGCTCAAATTAACCAAATTTATATGAAGATATACCCTTATTTTGATGTCATTTATACGCTCGCGAGTTATTGACTTCTATTTTCTGGACACGCTGTATATATTCTCTGGTTTAAGTTGACTTTTTAATCGCGTAAATTTGAAGGATGCGTTTAGAAAAATGGCGGCATTGTTTCACTAAAAGCTCCTTAGAGATGCGAGTAAAGCATCCGTATATAGCGGAGCTTTCGGTTTTCTCGAATGAAGCGCTACGAGCATTTTTCTTTATGACACTTTAAAATGTATCGCGAACAAGGAGATTTTTGCTTCGGAAAAGCGCGCGTTTCCCGTTTGATATGCATCCCAAAGTGATTTTTCGATATAGCTTTTAGTATATTCCCGTTCTAATGGAAAATATTTCGACGGGTAACGACGATATCGCATAGAGTGGAAATAAAAGGAGCATTAGACAGTCGATATTTGGCATCGGAAAAGGAGATAGTTTTCGGTAGAAAAAAAAAGGGTTAGAGAGTTTCGGATAAAGGGCTCACTTGGAAAATAAAATAAACAGTGTCCTGGAGTGGAAATAATATCCTTGTAGAGCGATCTAGGGTGGTTATTAAGGGTTTTTTCAAAGATATTATAACTATGAGACACAAATATATGGGATTTACCACAGAAACATTCAGTCTCTTAGTTGTAATGTCTTTACTTTTTTTTAAATAAGTTGCATTGTTCGGGTAAAATACCCTTACGGTAACGTTATATCGAATTGAAAATAATACAACCAGTTTCGCCCTCAGTAATTGAATTTTGAGACACGCGGAGACCCTTTTTTTATTCCTTTACAATGCCAGGCGGCTCGGCGGAATTTCCCTAAAGCAAAGGGACGCTTTCCTCGGGAAAACCCGGCGTTTCCTATTGGATTTCCGCGATTATTTTCGTCCCTTAAACGCCGCCGAAATTTCCTCGGAATGACGACGATTTAAAGAATTTACGCGCGACTTAAAATTATCTAGGGACTAATTTTAGTCCCGGTTGATTGGATAAAAGGAATCTTTTACCGCATTCGCGGAATTGAATGGAATCGAAAAATAGTTAATTCCACTTCTAGGGACATTTAACTATCGTCCCGTCGAAGTAACAACACCGATAAAGCGATTTTTTCCCGCTAGTTTTATTTCCTTCGCCGCTTTTAGGAAACGAATCGTTTCGCTCCGGCGGGTTTAACGCGAAAGTTTCGGACGAGGAGCTTTCCTATTCCGGGAGCTTTTTATTCCGTTTCGTAAATTAAAAATCCCGATGATCAATTCGCTCGATAATTGCAGTGTTAATTGTGTATTGGAAAATTTTGGTATCAGAAGTGTGTGCAGTTTTCTTCGAGTGTCGAGTCGGAGTGAAATAATTGATTATTCGACGGTGCACTTAGAGAATAAAGCTCTCGGGAAGTTTGAGCTTTCCTGCTGTAATGCGAAAAACTGCAGGAGGCGGCCGATTTAAAATTTAGAAGGTTTCAACTCGAATCCGGTTCGATTTGCGAGAGCTTTTGTAAGATTAAAACTTGAATTGTAGTGAAAACTTTACGTGGTAATCTATAGAGTGGACTTTTAAAAATTACCCAAACTCTAAACCAAAAATGTTGACAATAATTTACTAAATTTGCGCGGATTTTTATTGTCAGTTTACGAGTTCCTTTTCTCGTTTAAACTCCCATCTAAACGGGAGCGTTTTCGAATGAACTTTACGAGTACATTAGAGAATGACATTAACAAGTTTTCGCCTCATCGCCTCTTCTGCTATTTCTATTTATTGCTTCCTGACTGCGAGAGAAACGTGTAAGAGGACTTTTACGGATTTTTCCCCCGTTAGATTGCTCACTAGTTGATCTCTAATCGCCACAGATTCGATAGTAATCGCGCAAATTTTTTTTTTTATTTTTGGTCGGGAAAGTACAGGGTGTTATTTAATAAATTTGTCAAACTTCAGGGGGTGATTCTGCATGAAAAAATAATGATATTTTGCTATATAAACATGTCTGCAAATGCTTCGTTTTCGAGATACAGGCTGTTAAAGTTTCCCACCCGTTAAACACCCTGTACATTTTCACGCTTTCGCGCATCGAAAAAAAAAGTACCTAACATTTAAATGGCTGCGGAAAATGCTATTTTTAACAGCCTATTGTAATTTTAGGGGGTGTTAAATATTGTTCACAAAGTGTACAACGGCATTTTTAATTGGTCTTTTTTATGTACTTCGATAAATAAAGCCCTTGTTTAAAAGCTGTAAAGGGTGAATAAACGCTTGGAAATAAAACTCGCTGAAACAAAATTTAAGATATTTTATAAGAATCATTACATCTGTTACCTACCCTTTTACAATGGAAATTCCTCAAAGATATCTTCACCATCTACACCGCGTTAACGGCCCGAAATAAACATAAATTCTTCCTATCTAAATGACCGAAATAAATCTCGAATATCTCGCCCCCCATCCGCCCCTTTACCCGGCTAATTACCCCCCGAATTTCACGTTATCATTACACCGCTATTCCTCCATTCGCAGGTCAGGACTACGCTTACCCGGACGGATTCGCGCCCTTCCATCAGGACCACCACCGCCAGTACATCAACCCTTCGGAGGTCGTCCCTTTGCGACGCGCCCCCGCCGCCTTCCAGCCCGTCGAGCCGCCCCAGGGGGGTGGATATCTGCACCCGGACCTGCAGACCTCCGACCTGCCGGTCCACTTTCGCCAGACCCTGCCCCAGTACCGGTTCCCAGCCACCCCCAGGACTCAGCAGCCCTTAAACGTGAGTTTTTTTATCGTACTCGAACCTCCAGGTGGAAATGTAGGGGCAGGAGAAGAGTAGAGGATGAAAGGTAGTAGGGGAAGAAAGGTAGTAGGGGGAGAAAATTAATAGGGGAAGAAAAGTTGTAGGGGAAGGAAAGTAGTAGGGGAAGGAAAGTAGTAGGGGAAGAAAAGTAGGAGGTGAAGAAAAGTAGTAGGGCAGGAAAATTAGTAGGGGAGGAAAATTGGTAGGGGAAGAAAAGTAGTAGGGGAAGAAAAGTAGTAGGGAAAGAAAAGTAGTAGGGGAAGAAAAGTATAAGTAAGGGAAGGATTAATAATTTACTAAATTTTCGGATTTTTATTGTCAGTTTACAAGTTCCTTTCTGGTTCAAACTTGGCCAAAAGAAAATGCTGGAGATAATTTTTGAGTCTCTAAAATGGCCGCTAGGGGGAGTATCTGTCATCTTGATTTTTAAAAGTATTTTTTTCAATAATTTCCTGAATAAAGGTAGCAAAAATGTGTTTTATTTTGATAGTTGAGATTATTTCGATTATTTTTTGTTATATATTTTTGACTCTGATCTTTTAAAATAAAGTGGTAGGGTAGGTTTGAATATTTTGACAAATAAATGTTAATAACTTTTAAACGGCTGAACGGATTTTCATAAAAATGAAATCGTTAAAAAGGACTCTCCTTGATCTATAATTTACACTATATAAGATATTATTTTAAATGCTTGCTTGGCTGCAAGAGGGCGTTTTCCGACATAACCCCAAAAAAACACCGATTTTCTCAAAAAATTTAAATGTTTTGTGGGAAATGCAACGATATAACTTTTTCTTTGGAGAAAAATAGTCAAATAATTCCCAAACAAGCCTGTGAAAACCGCATCTCGATATCCCTTTTCTAACCTAAAATATATCTAAAAGAAGAAAAAATCAAAAGTAGTAGGGAAACGCCCTCTTGCGGATTCTTGGGAAAAGTAGGAGGGGAATAAAAGTAGTAGTGGAAGAAAAGTAGCAGGGAAGAGGGTACGAGAGGAGTAGGAAAAGGATAGCAGAATGTGGTAGGGATAGGAATGTTAGTATCTTTACTATTTAGAGCACTTCTTCCAGTTCCAAAACGGTTTCCATGAATTCTCGTACGAGAACCGGGACCAATCGGAGCAGGTGATCAGTTCACCGGCGGGTTTTCGAACGCAGGATCCGCGTAATTTGAAGCCGACGACGTTGAGACCGAACTATTCGCATCTGTTCGCTAAGAACCACGTGAGGGATCCGTCGCAGACGGAGACGTTCCTCGGCGAGATAACCATCCAGAATCCGGTGGAGGTTCCGGTGCAATTCGAGGATTTCGGATCGAGATTCGCCGGCAAATCGAAGGAGTTCCACGATGATTCGTTGGAGGCCAACGGCGGGAATTCGATCGGAGGTGTCGGTAGACCTTCGTTTTTGAATCACAGGTACAATGGAACGGTTTATTTTTGTAGTACTGGGTTTGTTCCGGCAGCATGTTCAAATTATGTTTGTATCAGTATTGTATTGCGCAGGTTATTTTAACACTTACAATGATAATCATTTCCTTCTTTTCAAGTTTTTCAACAATAATGCTAAGTTGCCAGTTGTTATCTAAGTTAAAATGTATCTTAGGTAAAATAGCCTTTTTTGAACATGGTGCAACATATTCCAATTTTAAGTACCTAGATCACACATTTAAGTCGAGTTAAAATATAACCTAGGATATATTGGTGCAACCGGGCATAAGAGCACGAGTCTTTCGCCGTTCCTTTCCAGCTTGTATTGCTCAATTTATATGTTCTTTCCTCTCCATTTTGTCTTTAACAACTCGTCTTTCTACCTATCCCTTGGTCTAGCTCTCCCCATTTTCCCCTCCAATTTTCCTACTCCTTACTTGTACCACAATCAAAACGGGTGATCAAAACGCAAAATCAAAATGAGTTTATTGCAGAACGAGAATATTGGCTCCGGATCCGAGCAAACCGACCAAAAACGCCGAAATCAGCGAATATTTCGTCGATACCAACGGTGAGGTGTACAGTCCAGCGTTTACCACGCAAAACACCCGATCATCTTCGACCACGACGCAAGAAACACCGGCGGAAAGGAAACCGATCAACAGGGCGAAACCCAAGAAAACCGTTTCGACGAAACAACCGAAATCCGTCGACTTGGAACCGCTTTTGGAGGAACCTCTCAAGTCCAACTTCGGTGAGTTATAACAACCCAACAATATACATTCAAATATTCTAATATACCCATTGTACAGGAACGAGTAACGACGACGAAGTCGAAGTAATAAAATCCGCAAACATCTCTGGGAATCGTCCAGAACAAAGCGAAGAATCCAACACGGAAGAACCGCTTGAAAGCACCGAGTACTACTCGGAAGAAATATACGACAACCACGAGAAACACAACGGTCATCGTAACGTTGGCAACGACATCCAAGGACTCGACGACCAAGAGGAACAAGAAGAAGAAGAAGTCGAAGAAGAAGACGTGAGTACTACAAATAAATTCGAAACACCCACCATACCTTATTTGTTTGCAGCAAACTTTCCACCAAGCTCAACCGGACGCTACGGAAGCGCCGGTAATCAACGCGGGGCCTTCTACCCTGCAGGTACCCAGCAAACCCGAGTTAGTCACCTCTGTGGTTACCAGTAAAACTGTAGTGAACAACACCATAGTAGCCTCTGCTACACCGGTAGTGACTAACCCCGCGAAATCCACCACCGAAACTCCTCTCGGAGAAAACACCACGGACGCTTGGGTGGTTATAGCTTCAGTCCAAACCAGCAGGAGCGTTTCAGGAGCCAGATACCTCCCGTCTTCGATTGTCGAACAGGATATTAGAGTGAAGCTGCTCAACGAACATAACACCGAAGATAGTGTCGGCGATAAGAGCGAATCTCAAGACGAATCTGAAGAATGGACTACTGAAGATGATGATTTAGAAGAAACAACTACCGTGAGTTACGTATTCAAACCGAAAACCTCCACGGAGAGCCTCAACGACAAGTTAGACAGAGTTCAATCGGATTTATCCAGCGGGTTACTATCAGGTAAACATCTACTCTTCTGGCTATAATAGTTACAAACTTTTTTAATTTATACAACATCTATTAGGAGGACTGGGTAACAACATAGCAGTGATCAAAGAACCGGAGAAGGTCGACATGACGGACGTGCATGAGATCAAACTCACCACGAAAGCTCCTTATCCTCAAGTGAACATCAGAAGGTACTCGCCGAGCAACAGAAGAACCACCACCAGGAAGCCCAGACCTCGTGCTGGTGCCAGAACGAAGAAGCCCTTCGATCCCAACCAGCCCCAAGGGGACCAACCGGCGAAGAAGATCGATGACATCGCGACCTACTTACCGGCAGGATACAGGCTCAACGCCAGCGACGCGGTTAGTTCGAAATTGCTGCAGGACATCCTGAGCAAGGCCCAGCCCGCGAAAGCCGACGAAGAGAAGACTGATGATGTAGTACTAACTGCGGTTAGTAACGAGACTAGCAGCACTACACCAAGTGCTTACGAGAGTATCTTCAAGAATACAAAGGCTGATGATCTGTCTAAGTTTCTACCGCCAGGATTCAAGTTGTCCAAAGAGGATGGGTCCACTACTGAGACCAGCGTGTTCAAGAATACCAAAAGCGATGATATTTCCAAGTTTTTACCGCCTGGTTATAAAGCGAATGTAGGTGAAACTTCGACCACTGAAAGAAGCATTTTCAAGAACACTAAGGCTGATGATATTTCCAAATTTCTACCACCTGGTTTTAAGTTACCTCAAGGTGATGGTAAACCGAGCACGGAGAGCAGCATCTTCAAGAACACCAAAGCAGATGATGTTTCCAAATTTTTACCACCAGGTTACAAATCGCCGAAATCTGATGAGAAACCTTCGACAGAGGGTAGCATTTTCAAAAATACCAAATCCGACGATATATCCAAGTTTCTACCACCGGGTTATAAAGCTCCCAAATACAAAACATCCACTGAAAGCAGCCTCTTCAAGCACACCAAAGCCGATGACGTTTCCAAATTTCTACCACCCGGTTACAAAGCACCGAAGGCTTCGACGGAATCCTCACCTAAAGCCAGTCTGGATAAAGGTAATAGCATCTTCGTTTGGCACCCATTTGAACTTTATAACTATCTTGTTTTTGTCCAGGTTTAAACGCACAACCCGTGGATATCTCAGCGTTCCTTCCACCTGGGTACAATTTACCAATCGAGAACATATCCGCCCCAGCGAACCTCCTTCCTCCCGGCTTCAATTCCACCACAACCACCACCAGTACTAGTACTACGACCAGCAGACCAGTAGGGAAAGTAGTCTTCCCGTCGCGACCAGGAGGCGCCAGAAAATCTTCAACAAGAACCACTCACAGACCTGTAAACGATGAGCCTCCCAGAGCCCAGAACACTCCTCCTACCATACACAAAGGATGGCCAGTAAGGTAATGAAACTACTCGCAGCATTACCATCGAATATTCCTTACCAAAACGGGTTTATCTAGGGTAACCACCGAATTCACCGGCTGGCCGACGCCCTCTACGACTCCCATCTCCATCGAGAAGCTCCTGGCAGCGGCCAAGGCGGCCTCTACAAGCACCGCGAGAACTGCAGAAACTACTGTTACTACAACTACCACTACTACTACCACTACGACTACAACGCCTAAGCCTACGACGCCTGGAGTGTGCTCCGATGAATGCGACCTGGCCGGTACCATAAAATTGGTGGGCGGTATCAAATGGGTGCCGGAATTGCTGGATAGGAACACCAAGGAGTGGCAGGTGCTGGCTAACGAAGTGGAAAGTCAGTTGGACTACGTGTACAGTTCGTCTTCGTTGCTCAACAGATGGTACAGGAAAATCAGGATAGACGGTTTCAGGTAAGGTTTCCGGTGAATATGAGTTGGAAGTTGGAGAATAATATCGTTTGAATCGCAGCGAAGGAAGCGTACTGGTGGATTACTTGGTGGAATTGAACGATATGGGAAGGAAAGTGGACACGCAGGAGATCAAAAGGCTGTTCCACCAGTCCTTGGACGACGCCTTGTCGATATTCGGCAGTTCGAATAGAGAGGGCAAAGCCATCAACGAATCGATGAAATTGGAAGGGAAATTGGCGCTCGGCAGCTTCGTCGTCGATCCCGCTTACACGGACTTTCTAGGTAACGAACAAGCGCACATTTCATCCACTTGTGCTGAGATTAATCAATTACGATTGCAGTGTTGCCGAAACAAGCGTACCCGACGGTGGGCTACGCGGAAAACGACGTCCTGCTGCCCCAATGGGCCATCGCCGTCATCGTCATCGGCCTGGCGTCGCTGCTGTTCGTCATCATCTTCGGCGTTACAGTGGTAAGATGGAACTCTAAACATTTGTAGTCTTTTAACTAATCGAATAAATCGATATTTAGCTGGTAAACAGACAGAAAAATAACAAGAAGAAGGCCCCCACGCCGCTCACCGAAGGCATGCTCAACGAGCTCAACAAGAACCACATGGGAGGCATCGACAATTACGGCGCCGAGGATTTGTACAACATGGAAGACGTTTGGAACGAAAGAGGTTACGATCAGAAACCGCCGAAGAAGGTTAGTAACATCATGATGTAATATTCTGGCGAAGGGCTCGTTAGCTGCGCGAGCTCGAGGCTCGAAGAGTATCCGGTTAGGATAGAGATGTATTCAAGTTCGGAAGTTGTTTAGAGGTGTAGGCAGACTCTACTAAAGGTATAGATGGCTGCCCGAGCTCGAGATAGAGGTGTATACTTCTCTAGAGGTCTCGCTAGCTACACGAGCTCGATACTTGAAGAGTATAGACGGCTGCGCGAGCTCGAGATGTTAAGATAGAAGTTTATACTTCTCTAGAGGCCTTTCTAGCTACACGAGCTCGTTACTTGAAGAGTATAGATGGCTGCGCGAGCTCGAGGCTTTAAGATAGAGGTGTATACTTCTCTAGGGGTCTCGCTAGCTACACGAGCTCGATACTAGACGAGTATTCGATTGAATATTTTGGGTGTATACTTCGATTTTGGAAGATGTTTAGGGGTGTAAATAGATTCTTTTGTGATATTATACGAAGGTGAAATGATGCTTTGGTGTTTCAGAGATCGAACGGATCGATTCACGACAACAGCATGTCGAATTTGTACGATAGCTGGAGATCGGAATGGAACGGGTACTATTACAACGCTTACTATGGGAATCCCGGGAGCAGCCAAGGCGGATATAACGGTAGAAGAAGATCAGATTACGATACGAATTTTTAGATGTGACGAATTGTTGAGGAGAGATCGCGGGTGGGAAATTCCGATTGGATTTTTCGATGGTTTTATTTAGTGTTTTTCGACAAAAAGAAACGTAAAATGTAAATAAATATGTTTTTTTTAATTGTTTAAAGCGAATTCGACGGATTATTGTTTGTTAACGAACGATTCAGCGGTATTTTAAGCGAACTAAAAAAAATACACACACACATACACACAAGATTTTTCTTATGATATTCGAACTTTTAACAAAATAATCTTTTTATGAGATATACGATGTCTATTTAATATTTAACTGTCGAGACGTAGGTAATAGATGTTGCTCAATTTTTTACGTCCCTACCCCAGCCTTCGCCGCAAATTGTAAAACAGGAAAATAAAAATAATGTGTCCTTAGATGGAATTGAATTGTAACGATAATTTCAAGGCATTGCCGTTAATTATGGTCGATTATCTCGAAAATTAATGGAGATAGAAACACGCTGTTTGTCTTATTTTGTAGGGAAAACCTTTCTCTACGATTTATGAAGAATCAAAAATTTTCGAAAATATCTTCATTTTCGAGATATCTTATATTTTCATTGGATTGTATCGGAATTAATAATTTTGGTGCAATTCAATTATAAATCTCTAATATCTCGAAAATTAATTGAGATAGAAACACTCTGTTTGTTCCATTTTGCAGAAAAATATCTTCTCTACAATTTATACAGAATCAAAAATTTTCGAAAATTGCTTAATTTGAGAGATAATAAACAAAAATGATGGTACACGAGTTATTAGGGATTCTATTGTAAGTGGATTGTTTTGAATATAGAAAATAATGGCACGAAATGAGTTTATTTTTATGGCTCTGTATCTGATAAACTTGCGCATTTTTTGCTCAAAACAGTCCATATTAAAATACCTCTAACTCCATATTTCATGTGCATTTATTCAATGGAAACTGACGATTAATTTAGCATTAAATCTGCCTTGAAATTATCGATTTGTGCATTCGCAATGCACCGGTAAAGTTAGTAGAACGAAAAGTTTCGAATCCAACGCTTGAAAAGCTTGTTATTGTCGAGAGTAAGCAGTTAATTAGGAGTATTATAGGCTAAGATTGCTCGCTTTAAGGGATTGCAAAGCTCTTCCTTCGAAAACGTTTCCTAAGCAAGACCCAAAGCTTCCTAGAACCTAATCATCATGTCCCAAAGTGTCCCAAGTCCCAAAATTCTTGGTTAAAGTAAAGCTCTGGTCTTCGCTTAGCGTTTTCGTCTAAAGTAATTACAGATTTAGCTTGTATTTAATCGGTTTTTTCATCGATTTATCGAGGAAACTGCTTAAATAAAGCGCGGGAATCTGGAAATATAGCGAGAAAAAAGAAACGGCTGTACTGACAAATAGACAGATGAAGCATCTGGCCCGGATTCCTCTAGTCAAACAGCCCATTTCGGCTGTGATTCCACCTATCGAGACTTCTAATTTAAAAAGTACCAGATAGGTTGTAAATGTGGCGCGACATCGATTTTATTAGAACAGAAAAAAGAATTAATAAAGACTCTATGCACTAATTGTAATTAGCCGAAATGTTTGTATCCCGTGAGCACGATTTACAAGCGATATATACAGGGTGGTCCTTAAGTAATGGCCCAAATGACTGAAATGGAAGATTCCCGAGCTCAAAATATTTCGATCTGAGCCAACTTGCTTTAGTAAAATACTGGAAATAAAAAAGATATTTTGAGGTAGAGAAACTTCCATTTCAGTTTGTGTCATTACTTACGGACCACCCTGTAAATCTATGTGTCAAAAAAAACACCGATGGGGGAATCCCAAACTCATCGGTAACCACAATTTTTCCATTAAACGATAATTTAACGTGTACATACCTGTAAATATACCATAAAATTACGTCTATTTTTCCCGTTAATTAAGATTCTAGATTTACGTTTACCTCTTACTGTTAAATAAATTAAATTATTCTAAATGTAAGTTATGTACGTATAAGGTGTTAAAACAATAAATACGAAAAATAATTTGAAAATACGCCTATTTTTTGTTCTTTATTAATTTCAACTCGGGTATACTTTTCTGCTTCGATATGGATCTCTTTCCTCGCATATAATCCTGGATAATATCTGGCAATTCGATGAAACCTTTCTGGTTTTGCCCGTTTTCCACCAAAGCTATTAAAAGCCTCGGAATAGCACAAGCAGTACCGTTTAAAGTATGTACGTAATCCAATTTACCATCCTTTCTTTCGTATTTAATATCCAACCTTCAAAAAAACCCATTGTTAATAATAATAAATACATTAACGGGTTCTTGCACCAATGGGATTTAAACGTAGTTTAATTCTAAACTCAAGTTATATTTAATTTTTATGTTGCACCACTTGTATAAAGTAAAGTTAACTTTTTAATCTTCGCTTAAGATTAAACGGTAAATTTTGATGGTGTTTATGAACAGTTTAAACGAAAATAAACTTTACTGTAGTATGTAATCAGTTAATTAGATGGAAAATTATCAATGAAATATCTTTTTGTAATATGGTCGGGGGTAGATTTTCTCATAAGGTTGTTTCTTTATGGAATTTGACCATCATAAAACTACTTTTGTGTCCGTATAGGGCTGTTTGAAATAATTTTCGAAATTTTAGCTTCTTTTCTTGATAAATTTGAAAAATGTTTCGAACAAAACTTGCTAATTTTGATGCCAGGATTCCGAATTTTCTAATTTTCTTCTTAAGTCTAACCAACAATTAATATTCCAAATAAAAACCCCAAAAAGTTATAGATTAACTAAACTCTTCACTTTTATAAATTGTGCAATGTTAATGAACTTAAGCGAAGTTTAAAATTAAACGCTAGTTTAATTAACTTTCGTTTAGTTCGAGTTTGGTGCAACACCCCGTTATTCATTTCAATTGTGTACCTTCTCGATTGGTAATCGGTGCAATTACTACAACTGGAAATCTCCCCGTACATCCCCCTGCCGGGCATCCAGGCTTCGATGTCGTACTTTCTATAAGCTTGCGCCCCTAATTCGTGCGGGGGCATATCGAGCACTTGAAAATGGAGGCCGAGAGCTTTAAATTTCTCTTCTTCCCACGTTCGTATCTCTTCCAGAGCTCCATCTGAGGTTTCCGGAGCGGTTACAACGAACATTTCCACTTTCGTGAACTCGTGAACTCTGAATATTCCCCTTTCCTCCGCAGTGCTGGATATTTCAGCTCTGTAGCATCGACTTAGCGCCGCTAGTTTTTTCGGTAAATCGGCCTCTTTGAACGTTTCTCCGGCGAGGTATCCAGCCAAGGCCATTTCGGAGGTACCGGATAGGCACAAGTCTGGCTCGTGGAGCTTCGAATCCAACGTGTATACCTGTTGAATGGCGTAAATTTAGATGTAATTGAGGCAATAACGGAATCTTGCACCAAACTCAAACTAAACGAAAGTTAATTATACTAATAGCAAGAATAAAATAGCAAAAATATGCAAGAACCCGTAATTAGATTGCTAATTACCTGATTTCTGTCGCCCTTCGTGGTCATTCCGCACCGTTCGATTACCGTTCTCGGTAGGATATCGGGAACGGAAACGAATTCGAAGCCAGATTGAATGAGTTCATGTACAAAATAATCGAGCAGGGCTTGCTCTAATTCGGCCAATTCACCTAAAATGTAATAACTTCTACTGCCGGATACGTTGCCCAAGTGTTCTGTCCTTACCATTTTCAATTTTTTCGCTATTTGGCTGAATTCTAACGGAGTATCGGTGAACGTTCGTTTATCGTTGACTAGCTTCACTAATTTGGGTTTGTCGCCGTAATCGAAGACGTCGGGGTGCGTTCGATTGGGGATTTTTAACAGTTCTTGGGCGAGTTGTGTTCGGAGTGCTTCGAAGTCTTCAGTACCGGTTTGTTTGCGTTCTAATTGATTGGTTAACTCGCGCACTAATTTTATATTTCCCACGCCTTTTCTGCGTAGAATGTTTTCTTCGATCTTCTCCTGGTCGATCGAATCGCAAAGGAGTTTCGCGTTCAGTTCGGGAAACTTCCAGGATGAAGTGGATTTGTTGCACTTGGGAATGCGATTTGTACGTTGGACTTTGCTGAGAATGTGTCGAGTGAACATTTTCGAATGATAATTTCTCTCTTCTTATGTAGTTCTTTTTAAGAATAATAAGTTTATTAGAAATTAAGAAAATATAAAAATTTTAAACTAACATAACCTCATTCTTCTTCTTTTTTATGTGCTTTTGACATTTTTGACTGACAATGTCACTGTCTTTGACTATTGTGTTATACAGTGATTATACATGTGTGAAAATCAAATTCAAATACCAAAACAAATTCGTTTTAAACTGAAACAATCTCATACTTTTATGTATAAAACGATATCGAACGAATTGTACAATATTTTTAACATTTATTGCTGCTTTCAGTCGTCAACAATGTCAAGTCAGTTTTCACTAATGTCAATTTTTTAGATAGATTTTATCTTCTTTTCTTAGGTGGTCCCGATGATCACCAGACAACAGTTGCAAATATAAATTCAAAAAACCCATTATTCTTTATTCGAAAAAACACCCATCACAACAAACAACGAACAATTGTAATATAAAGTACGTTCCCGTATATTCTAATCTAAAATGCAATAAAACTGTATATTATATGCTTCGGTATAACAATATAGAAAATTTACAAAAAGAATTTTTTATATGGCGTAAATACAAGTACACTAATTTTTTTACAAAAGCAAAAATCGGCTGTATTTTCGAGTATCCAACTCAAGTGATCCTTGATTTTTGCATACAGCGCCACATTGATTTTTTCGCAATTATTTTTATCGCCCAGAACGCCTGAAAATGTACCAATTTCGATTTCATATATCTCAAGAAATTTAATAAATTAATAAATTAATATTTACCTATTAATTCGTAAATTCCGTTCCTCGATGCGTACATAACAGGACCCCCAGATTCGTTCTAAAAATAATAAATCATCTATAATTAAATATCAAGAAATATTAATTGAAATAATTACTTTACAAACGGGATTAACCGATCCGAAAACTCCAGCGCATCCTTTATCATCGGTCACATATTCAGAATGGTGATATCCTTTTAAACATCCTTCGCGATTTAAGATGGGCAAGGACAATTTCTTAGCTTTGCAGGAATTATTTCCAACGTTATCCCATCCGTAAACAGTACCCACTTTATGTTCATTGTTATTCAAAACTACAAATAATTCGAAGCAAAATATATACAGGGTGTTATTTAATGCGATGTACTTATTTTAAAAGGTGATTCTTGGGCTAATTTTTGGGAAAAGTTCATATAAAGGTACATCCTCCGAAGCTCGGTTTTTTGATATACAGGGGTTGTAAAGTTTTATTTTTATTTAGGTTTTTTTCATAAATTTGGAAAACCGTTTGCGATATTACATTGAATTCTAGGATAACAATATTATGGTGTTAATACGCATTTTTTTAACTAAAAAAGTAGTACGCCACTGTTTTTTTCGAAACTTTTTTTAAGCAGTATTGATAACCATTTCATTATAAACAAAAAAAGGTTCTTGCGTTTTTGCCGTAGAACTTATCATTTTAAAGAAAATAATTAAAAACTAGTTGTTACATCTAAAACATCACACCAAAAACTATCTACTTACCGAAAGTCATAATAAGAAGAAGACATTTTATGTACATAGATATTGTACATGCGTATTTATACTATAATATGTTATCCTAGAATTCAATAATGTATTCAATAATGTATATCGAAAACCGAGCTTCGGAGGACATTATCTTTATATGAACTTTTCGACTCAAAATTAGCTCAAGAATTAAAATAAGTACATTGCATTAATTATCACCCTGTACACAATACAACTATTTTAGCAGGATTAAACAGGATTTTTACTCACTGGTCGAAGGCAGGCAAATAGGCAGGATCCTTTTACCAGTCGCCACAGGAACACTCAACCTCACCACAGCGATATCGTGTGCCCCCGTCGCAGGATCATAATCAGGATGCACCGAAATCCTGTCCACACTCAAGCTCGCAGAACTCACACCTGCGACACACCTATCGATTCTACCCACCGCAATTTTCACGTCCAACGGAGTTTTCCTGCAAATTTAAAACCTCCCGTTGTGTTCAACATAAATACAACATAAATATCATACCCGATGAGATTACCGGCCGACGTGAGCAGGTACTTGGGACTGATGAGGGTGGCGGGTAGCGAAACGTCGCCCGTTCGAATCGAGGCGGCCCAGGGAAATTCGTGGCCTTTTATATATTCGCCGGCAGCCAGGCGGGTAGCGCGACCGGGAGCGCCGCAGGCTGGAATAAAATATAAAATACGAAACGGGAGAAAGGACAATGATGATGTCTCTCGCGAATATTTTATGGGTTGCCTGAATGATTTAGGATATGTAAGGATGCGGTGGAGAATGTATACGAGGTGGATGTGTTGTTAATTTTTTATTGTAATAAATAAATAAGTGTAAGGTATATGTTTTTAAAAGATGTATATAGGGTGTCCCACGTCGGGTTAAAACTGTCTGTAGTTGGAAAACTATTTATCCGATTTAATTAAAATATACAGTTAGTTTTAACTCCGTGGGACACCCTGTACATATCTAGAGAGTGAAAATATTTAAATTACTTACTGCATTTGCACGGGTTGAAAATTGAATCTAAAATTCTTCGGTCGAAAATCGAAGAAGCAGTTAAATTAGTCTGTGAATAAAATCAGTATAAATTTTATTATTGTGAAAAATCTAGTAGAAAAAATACGCGAAAAATGCAATAAAAAAATTGATGAAATATTTTATTTGGATTTTTATATTAACTCACCAAGCAAACTATTGCAGTTGCCAGAAATAATCCGGGCAATTTATAACTCATTGCGATTAAACTTTGAAAACCGTAATGACCGAAATGCAATGGAAACTCACCGTTTTTATGCACCGGGAAAATCTAAAATTTGCATTATTCTCTTCCATGCAGGTATATTTTTGATTTTTGCAAAACGCTCTTATGCAAATTATGCTAAATTATGTTAAAATCTCATTTAAACCGCCTCCAGGAAACTTATTCGTATGCAATTACGCGAAAATAAGGGTAGGTAATTAACAAAAAAAAACAAGATAAATATTTTTACATAGCAACAAATCTAATTTCTAACGTTTAATTTAACGCATTCATAAAATATAGTAACGAAGTATTATTTAAACACCCCTTCGCGGATTTGCACCCCTTTGCGGTGCAATCAGTGAAGAATCATTTAGAAATTAGCCCCGACCGCAAGGACCCCTACCCCCTGCACCCTCTACGAATGCAAATCGTCGTTCTAATGCGCCTTTCAATGGAATCGAAACGAGATTTAAATTTAAATAATACCGATGGGGATGAATCCACGGGGTGCGAGTGACGTCAGCGCTGGTCAACCGTAAATGTATCAATAGCAAAAACAACCCTTACCCGTTTTTTTTCTACCCTTTTAAAAATAAAAAAGTGACCTCGAGTTAAACGAAGCGTGATTGCCAAATGTATTGAAGGGGTTGATTTTTGGGAATTTTTTGAGTAAGGTAGTAATTATAGTAATCTATTTAAATAACTTTACTTGAAATAGTTTAATTAGTCAATTATTTATCTACAGATTAATCAATAATTTACCTAAAATAGTCATTTATTTACCTGCAGATTAATTATTTATTAAACTGAAATAGTCATTTATTTACATCCAGATTAATCAATTATTTAACTGAAATAGTCAATTATTTACCACCAGATTAAACAATTATTTTCCTGAAATATTTAATTATTTACCACCAGATTAAACAATTATTTTCCTGAAATATTTAATTATTTACCTACAGAATCAATTAATTACCTGAAGAAATAGTCAATTAATTACCCAAATTATTTAATTATTTACTTGGAATAGTCAATTTTTTACCGAACTGAATGTGAGATATTTTTTTACCTATAAAGAGCTCCTTTTCTCTCTAATAGGTACACAGTACACAATTTTAATTCAGCCAGTCAATTATACGCCTAAAATAGTCAATTATCTACCCAAGTAGTCAATTATTTATCCAACTGTCAATCATTTATTACCTGAAATAGTTAATTATTTACCTAAAATAGTCAATCGGATCTACCTAATTGAAATGCTCTTTAACTAACTATTGCAAAAAGAGTTAAAAACATTTCTAACAGATAAACTATATGAGCTTTGAGATATTCCGGAGAGCTTTTACTCTTAACTCAAGCTTCTACTACTTTATTCATTTTAAAATAACATCTTAATTACTTATAGTCCAACTTGCAATAAAAAGCTAAAGCTGTAAGCATAAATTAGCATTGTAAATTCTACCGAATGAATCATGAGCTTTAGACTATTCTCTAGAGCTTTATTTACCACACTACTTCATTTATGATAACACCATCTTAAATATTTGTAGTTCAACCGGTAATAAAAGAACCCAAACCGGCCATAAAATTTTCGACTGTAATTCGCACAAATCCGGAGCTCCGGAGCATTCCGGCGAGCTCCGGCAACGCCGCGTCGGCGTTTAAGAGCATGCAAATCGTCCGGCATCAACCGCAAAGTGTGCATGCAACTGCTACAGAAGTCGCAGGAGCCGTAACTCGCCGGCGGAGCTTTCGCTAACCGAAGCAAAAAGCTCAAAGCTCTCTCAGTTTCGCGTGCGGCTTTCCCCGGCTCGGTTCGAGCGCACCGAAGCGCTTTCAAACCGGCCCCGAACGGCAAGTTTTTGGCGGGAAATAGAATTTCGGAAATGATGGGGGCGATGGGACGTTGCGAAGGGGACAATCGGGGTTGAGGGGCTAGAGGAAAATGGCGAGTTTTGTGATTTTTTTGGTGAATTTGTTCGCGGGGTGTTGGGGGATACTCAATGGAGGTGAGTGGATTTTTTTGCGCAAAAAAATTGAATTGTTATTGAGAATTTTAATTGATTTTTTTTAATTAAGCATTAAGCAAAGCAATTAAATGTGATGTTTGCATTAAATTGAAACGAATGTTTGATTTTGAGTTAATTATTATTGGAATTCCGTTCATCGATATTTATAATGTAGGTTGGAATAAATTCGTTAAATGCTTGATTTGTCCATTGGGGAAAAAAGCTCGGACACGTCGATTTTTATTTTAAAAAGTGGGTGAAAAAAATGTTGTGAGTATTTATACA